AGGTTTTTATCCTTATCTTGGCTAAGTCTCCTCTTTGTCCTAGGACTCTTGTCCCTTATCCGCTTATCTCGGATTCCGATATCTTCGGAGATAACCTCGGTAACTCTGAGATCACCTCGGCGTAATTTCTACGACACGTGGCACCTCGGCCAAACACGTCGGCGTCGCCATGCCACGTGTTGGTACCCAAGAAATATATCCCCACAACTGCCCCTAGGTTCTATTACCTCGGCATTATGAGGTGATGGAACCTATATCGATATTTCTTTCTGCATAGTGGTTCAAAAATTGTTTGGCCGAGATAATGCATTCTCAAGCCGATGTGTTCTCTTCGGAGAACAAGAATCCAAATGAACTCCACCACGCGTATGAGCTGTCATGCACATCTAACCGTTCCTTTCACGTGCTCTGTCTTCATTGGCCCGTGTCTATGACGCGCCCGAAAGCTATCTTTTATTCGTCTGCGCCGTCTGACGTATCCGGTGCTCCAGGCGCAATAAATGCCCTGTTTTGCCGCTATTTTAAGTTTTTTTTTTTTTTTTACAAAACTTTTCTTTCCTTCTTCCTTTCTCCACTTTCTGTATTCTGACTTCTTGATTTTTCTCTCTCTAAAAGCTTTAGCATTCTTCGAATCTGCCATTGCTCTAAGCCCCAAATTCTGCGACTGTCTTTATTCTTCCATTCCTGCGAAGCTTTTGCCACTGTTTCAACTGTCGTCTGATCTCAGCGAATATTGCTCCGGTTTTACTTTATCTGGTAAGCAACTGGTCCCCCTTAACCCCCTTTTTTTTTTCAATTCTTGATCAGTTCTGGAGTTTCTTGTGATTACTATTCTTCTTAGGCATTATTTGTGAATCATTCACCTGAATGCGTCTTATTTCACGATTTTTCACATGCTATGAACACTTGCACTGTTTCTCCACTGTTCTTGGCCCTTAACCCTTTGTATTCTTCGCGTTCTTGATAGCCCATCCCTGTTCTTGTCTCTGAAACTTCGCTTTTGTTCTCTGTTTTTTGTGTTTTTACCAGATCTGTGCCCTCGATCTTCGTCTTTATAATTTTAGGTTGGGGATTTGTCTGTAGAACCTTCAATCTTTAGGAAAAACTGAAACAAACCTTACCAGTCCTTACCCAGGTTTTGAAACTGAGGTTCTAGCAACCCTTTTGAAACTCCTATCTTCTGAAACACAGCCTTCTGAACTTAGGCCGACGTTATGGGTATGTGGAGACATCGAGTAAATTCCCCAACAAAACTCGAATACTTTAGGCAGGAGTTCTCCATCCCAGCCGATGTTCACCTTAGGCTAGCTGGGGATGGTGATTCCATCATGCCCACAGATCATACGATGCCCTTTCCTATTGTAGCCTTTACTGAATGTGGACTCCGGCTTCCACTCAATCCCCTCTTTCGCGAGGTTCTTCACTTCTATAGGTTGAACCCTATGCAACTTACCATCAACTCTTATCGAGTGATTAATGGTATCATAGCCCTGGCTAGGCAAGAGAACGTTAGGATCACCCTTGTTGATATCCAATTTTGTTATACCATGTGCCCCCTTAACCTGAAGGAAAGAGGTTATATTTACAACCTCAAGCCGAGGTCTACCGAGTTCAAAATTGTAGCCGACCTCCCGGATTCCAACAAGGGAGCCGGGGGATGACTTTGTCATTGCTTTGGGAAATTGGGAATTTGGCCCAGACGAAGATGTTCACCTCTACCCTTTTCCTCGAACAGTTAAAGAGGGCAAGGGTAAGAGTCCAGCATCAATATTTAGTTATTTCTTTTCCAAGTCTTCAAAACTTTGTCTATTTCTAATGTCTGTTTGTTTGTCTTGCAGATCTTCATCAGCCACCCAAAATCTTTCGTCAATCCTTATTCCCTGGAAAAGATTTAAAGAAGCTTCTAGTACTTCCAATTCATAAGCGCAAGGCTCCCCTGTTACTAAACTTTATTCCGACATACAAATCCACATTGCCCGACGTCCCAAAGAAAAAGAAGAAGAGCCTCTCTCCACCTACTGCCACAACTATAACCGCTTCTTCATCCCGAACAGATCAAGAGTCCACATCTGACCCAACCAATCAACCATCCACTTCGGCCCCATATTTGATCCCAATACCAGAAAGAAAACGTCGGCGACGCCTTGTCAAAACTGCCGAAATGGGTCGTGCAAAGCCAATTGCCCAAAATCTCTTAGCCGACCTTCCGACTGATGCTGATGCTGTACCAACTCAATCCATGCCCCCACCGAAGCCAAAAAGAATCAAAAAGGCTCAGCCCAAGGCCAAGGCAACTGAGGTTGAGGCCGAGGATGCCCTGCCTATCTCCAAGCTGGCTGAAAGCAGCAAATCCCAACCCTCTGCTGGGAAGAGGTACGCAGAGACCCAGCCATTAGAATCTTCAAAGTCAAAGAGGTCGAGGTCCTCCTCTACAACGACTTCAAAATCCAAAGTGCCAAACGTCCCCTGGACGCCTGAGATTACCCTGGAGGACAAGCCGGTCATGGCTACTGATAGCGCCGACGATATTAATGTCGGCGTTGCCCTTAGTACAGCTCTTCTTCTCCCAGGTGATCTGGAAAAGAATGCTGGAATGAGTGAGTATGAAAATTACGCTTTCATGCTTCAACGCTGTGTTCAAGTAAGTGTCTTCACTTGGTAACCTGTCTTTTCCTTGTTGTTTGTAAAACTTCTGTAATGACTTCTCGTTTTTGTGTTCTTTCAGGCTGTTCAGTATGCCCGCATGCCCACTCCTTTTCCATGCAATCTTTTGAGAACAGGGAGAAGTTAACTGACTTGCAGAAGGAGTATTCTGCACTCCAGAAGATCAACAAGGGTCTTCAAGCAAAAATGAAGAAATTGGAAGACCAGGCCGAGGCTGCCACTAAAGCCCAAACTTTGGTAGAAGAAAAGGTCGAGGCTGCTGAAGCTATAAAGAAAGTTTCCAAAGCGCAAAAAAATGAAGCCGAGGACAAGGCGACCCAAGCCGAGAAGGAACTTCAAGAGGCCTTAGCCACGAAAAAGGCTGAAATCAAAGAAGCTGATGAAAAGGCTTATGCGCAAGGCATGGCCGACGTCGCTGAGGAGTACAAGCTTCAAGTCAGGCAAGCATGCAACAGGGGATTTTCCCTTGGTTGGATGTCTCTGCTAAAAAGACTTGATCTCCCTGCTGACTCGCCTTTCCGTAATGTCGACGCTATTCCACTGCCATTTCCTCCAAGTGAAGCCGAAGAAGAATCTGGGTCTGAGCCTGAGGATGAAGATGATCATGAAGCTGAGGCCTTGATGAAGAAACCCAAGGGTGATGCTGGGGTCAGGTCTCCTTCTCGAATTGAGCCCATCCTGGACTTAACCCAGGATGAGGAGGTTGAGGAGGTACCTAAGGAAGTTGATATTGGGACGTTATCTTCCGACCTCCTTCTGGCTGAAAGGAGTCTTACTAAAACACTTACTGAAATCGATGCCGAGCTGGCTGCAGAAAAGGTTGCCGAAGTAGTTCCTCAAGAATCTGCCGAGGTAGTTTTTCAAGAATCGGATGAGGTCCAGACCCAAATCCTTTCTGAAGCCGAAAAATCTTAATCTTTCCTGTCTTTTGTACTTTTTTTCTTTTGTGGACAATATAAGTTTCTTTGTATGGCCGATGTGCCTTCTTCCGAGCGGTTATTCTTGGATTGTTCCCTCTTTTATGAAGGACTACAACTGTATTATCTGAATGCTTCGATCGTTTAATTTCTGTTTGATTTGCTTTTGCATGGTTCTATGCTTAGAATATTTTGCATGCCTTTCCCTTTTGCCTCCTTTGTGCAGTCTTCTGGGGGTTACGTACCTCGGTTCCAAGAACGTTTTACTTTGGCAAGATACAGACCTGCAAACTTTTCATAAATTCTAACAAGTGTGAAACATATACTACTCAATGTTAACTTTGCAAACCTTTTCTCAAGTTTCAACAAGTGTTGAAACGGTGATCTCGGTCTAGCCTACTTGTAAATTGCTACAAATTTTAACAAGGATTAATATATATTGTAAATTTTTCTCAAGTTATAACAATGATCTGCTTGTAATTTGCTACAAATCTCAACAAGTGTTTAAACAATATACTTAGCTTTTACCTTAACCTGTAAATTGCTACAAATTTCAACAGATGATCACATGTCGGCTTAACATTAACTTGTAAATTGCTACAAATTTCAACAAGTGAAGACAAGGAATCATCTCGGCTTAACTTCGGTTAAGCATCAGCTCGGTCTAATTTCAATTTTAAATATTATCTTGGTTTAACCAACTTGTAAATTGCTACAAATTTCAACAAGTGGTAAACGCATTCGTCTTCTTTCTGCCCCCAATGTGAACCTGAGTTCTACTTGGGTTCTCATTATTCATGTCTCCAAAAACATCAGTATGTAATCTTATCAGTCATATGTGTTGAAAGAATTCTTGAAAAAAACTTTATTAAAGACATCGACAAAAAATACTGCACATCTAATGATAGAAGAATTTCAAATTACAAGTGTTCCAAAGTCTTAGCAGTGCTTTGCCCTCGTTATCTTCAAGCCGATAGGCTCCATTGCCTATTACCGAAGTAATTCTGTAGGGTCCTTCCCAGTTTGGGCCAAGCTTGCCCTCTCTGGGATCTTTTTTGTTGCCGACGACTTTTCTCAAGACTAGGTCGCCGATTTGAAAATCTCTTGGATTGACCTTTTTGTTGTAAGCTCTAGCAAGTTGTTGCTGGTATACTGCTAGTTGAATTGCAGCCTTTTCTCTTCGTTCTTCTAAAAGGTCCAGATCTCGGGCTAAGAGGATGTCGTTAGTGCCATTCTCTACTCCCTATGTCCTGATCCCTGGGATGCCGATCTCCAATGGGATGACAGCTTCTATGCCATAAGCCATGGCAAAGGGGGATTCCTCAGTTGATCTTCTTGGCGTAGTCCGATATGCCCAAAGCACGTTGGGCAATTCGTCTACCCACTTTCCTTTTGCTGCCTGCAGCCTCTTCTTTATTCCATTCAAAATTAATTTGTTGGATGCTTCTGCTTGACCATTACTTTGGGGAAAACTTGGTGTTGAAAAATAGTTCTTGATCTTGAATTTCGCACAAAAGTTCTTGATAAGTTTGCTGTCAAACTGTGTTCCGTTGTCGGCAACTATTGCCCTTGGAATGCCAAATCTGGTGATGATGTTTTTCCATATAAAGTTCTTAACGTCCACATCTCGAATTTTGGCAAGAGGTTCCGCCTCTATCCATTTGGTAAAGTAATCTGTTGCCACCAGCAGGTACTTTCTTTGCCCAGTTGCCTGGGGAAGTTGCCCGACAAAATCCATGCCCCATTGGGCAAACGGCCAAGGGCTGGATACTGGATTCAGGTCAGCGGTTGGCTGATGTATTAAAGGTGCAAACCTTTGGCATTGTTCACACTTCTTCACATAGGCTTCAGCATCCTTTTGCATGTAGGGCCACCAATACCCCTGGGTAATGGCCCTGTGGGCTAGTGATCTGCCCCCAGCATGGCTTCCACAAATTCCTTCATGAATTTCATAGAGGAAATCCTCAACCTGCAAAGGGTGTACGCACCTTAAAAGTGGTCCAGTGAAGGACCTTCTGTAGAGATGTCCATCTTCTGTTAGACATAATCTTGCAGATTTCAATCTGACTTTGTGTGCCTCCTTACGATCTTCTGGCAACTTTCCTTCTTTTAGGAATGCAATAATTGCATCCATTCAGTTTGGCCCCATGTCCACACACATTGCTTGCTGCTTTGTGCTCCCTGGTTCTATGCTCGGGCCCGACATGTAGTCGATCATAATTGTTCTTGTTTTTCCAGTCTGTATTGAACTTGCCAGGTTAGCCAACGCATCGGCGTGGGTGTTGTCATCTCGGCTGACTTGCAGTAGTCGGCAGTTCTGAAATAGGGCTGCCAATCTGATGACCTCTTTTGCATATGCTGACATCCTTCCGTCCCTGGCTGCAAATTCTCCTGTTGATTGGTTAAGAATAAGTTGTGAATCACAAAAGACAATTACCTCATCTGCTTCTGCTTCTGCTGCTGCTGCCAGTTTTAGCCCTGCAATTAATGCTTCGTACTCTGCTTCATTGTTTGAGGCCTTGAACCCCAAACGGATGGACTGTTCTATTATTTCTCCATCGGGAGATATCAGCAGTACTCCTGCCCTCGCTCCTTGACGGTTTGAACTTCCATCGACGAAAAGTCTGAATGAATCGCCGATGTAGATGCTGCAGGGTCTGAGTTTTTCCTTTTTTTGATCTTTTGCCTTTGGCTGGGCTTCTCCTTGCTTGTTGAGATACTGCTCATCTCGGCTCAACAGAGCCCGATGTTCCATGGTTTCTGGGGTGAATTCTGCCACGAAGTCGGCCAAAACTTGGCCCTTTATTGCTGTTCTCGGCCTGAACTCCAGGTCATATTGGCCCAGGGCCACTGCCCATCTTGCTATCCTTCCTGTTAAATCTCCTTGTTGTAACAAGGACTTCAGTGGGTGCTCTGTTAGGACCACAATCTTGTGTGCCTGAAAATAATGGTTCAACTTCTTTGAAGCCATTACTAAGGCCAGCATTAATTTTTCTAGCGGCAGATACCTTGTTTCTGCACTGGCCAAGGTTTTACTTACATAATAAACCGCTTTTTGCTCCCCTTTTTCTTCTCGGATTAGAACTGCACTTACTGCGTGTTCTGAAACTGCCAAGTACAAAAACAGTTCTTCCCCTGGTTCTGGATTGGAAAGAACCGGAGTTGTGGTCAAGTACTTCTTTAGGTCGGCTAGAGCGGTTTCGCATTCTTCTGTCCACAGAAAGTCTGTGGCTTTTTTCACCAAGTTGAAGAAGGGTCTGCATTTATCTGAGCTTCTGCTAATGAATCTGTTTAGGGCTGCGGCTCTTCCAGTAAGCATCTGAACCTGTTTCGCCGACGTTGGGCTCTGCAGCTCTAGAATGGCCTTGATTTGGTCTGGGCTGGCCTCTATGCCCTTTCTCGATACCAGATACCCTAGAAACTTACCTGATCCAACTCCAAACGCGCACTTTGATGCGTTGAGTCAGAGCCGGTATGTTTTAAGTATATCAAAGATCTCTTTTTGGTCGGCAAGATGTCCCTTAGATTCTTTGGTTTTCATGACCATGTCATCGATGTAGACTTCTACCGTTTTGCCAATCAGGTGCTTGAACATCTTTGTTACTAACCTTTGGTAAGTTGCTCCTGCGTTTTTCAATCCAAAAGGCATTACCTTGTAACAGTACAAGCCTTTAGGGGTGATGAACGTAGTCTTCTCCTCGTTTGGAGGGTACGTGGCAATCTGGTGGTACCCTCTGTATGCATCCAAAAAACTCATCCTTTCGTGCCCTGAAGTTGCATCTATTAGCTGGTCAATCTTGGGCAGAGGAAAGCTGTCTTTGGGGCAGGCTTTGTTGAGGCTGGTAAAGTCTACACAGACTCTCCATTTACCGTTCTTCTTTTTCACTACTACTGTGTTGGACAGCCATGTCGGATAGTGAACTTCTCGGATGGCCCTGGCCTCCAGAAGTTTGTCTACTTCTTCTTCTACCGCTTCGACGTGCATCAACGTCGGTCTTCTGGCTCGTTGAATCACAGGTTTTGCCGACCTGTCGACATTCAGTCTGTGGCAAGTGACCTCGGGGTCAATGCCAAGCATTTCATAAGGTGTCCAGGCGAATACTTCAATGTTGGCTCTCAAAAAATCTTCCATTTCTTTTTCCTCTTCTTCGGCTAAACCTGAACCGAGAAGAAAGAAACGTTCTTCGTTGCCCTCCTGGACTAGGATTTTCTTTAGTGTCTCTTCACTCTTTTCGGTTGGCTCCTTGCCGACATCATCTAGGACCTCCACGTCCTCGTCTTCAATCTCTGCCTCTTTTGGCTTTCAAATGTTGCAAGTGGACTTTGTTGCTGCCATGGAGCAACTTTTTGCTTGCAGTTGATCTCCTCTGATTTCTTAAATTCCATGCTCTGTTGGGAACCGTAGTAGTTGATGCAATGTTGAGGGAACTGCCCCCATTGCATGCAACCATGGTCTTCCCAAGATAATGTTATATGGTGAGGGTGTGTCAATTACCATAAATTCTGTTTTGATCTTTTTAGTACCGGCTTGTACTTCCACGCTTGCTGCACCCAGTGGCTATGTCGGCGTTCCATTGAAGCCGACCATAGGGTTGCTGGATTGTTCCAGATCGTCAGGATGAAGGTCTAGCTCCTTGTAACATCTGACGTACATTATGTCACAAGAGCTGCCTTGATCTATTAGGATGCGTTTTACCTGGCATTCCCCAACCTGGAGGGATACTACCAAGGCATCATTATGCGGATGCTGGACCATCTCTAGGTCGGCTTCAGTGAAGGTTATCATTGGTCCTTGGCTTTCTTCAGGCTGAGGTCTTTTTTCCCCGATTTGGTAGACATGCTGTAAATGCCTTACCCTCTAGGTTTCTCCTCTGACTTCGTTCTTGTTGACCCTCGAGTGGATCACATTAACCACCCTTGGTCCTCCTGCCTGTGGTTGCTGTGCTAGAGGTGGTGGAGCTGCTGGTGCTTGAGGCAATCTTGCCTGTTTTTCTCTGG